AGCCCCCTGCGCCAGCATATATACCCAGCCCCCTGCACCACAATATACCCAGTCCTCTGCCCTCCCCCTCCATCACAGTCCTTTGTGCCCAGAACAGCATGAAAACAAAGTATTTTATGTTCCCCAAAATGTAAACGTAGTTTTATTTAATGCCGGACCACATAACAGCTTTTATATATAAAAATCAGAGATGGTGGCGTAAGGCACAGGGCAGACACATGCGTAGTCCACATCCCATCTATACAATCCAATTAACTAATGTACACAACGCGGCCAATCGCCGCGAAGAAAAAGATTTCTTAAATAAGATCCATGTACACCCTCCCCCGCCCCCTCAGACAAGTGAAAGGAGCGAAGTGACAACAACAAAAAATCAGACAAGTCCATAAATTAGACAAAAATACAAAAAAAAAAAAATATTTCTGAGTCGGACTCATTCAGGTCAGTCCAGCGGAAGGCGATTGGAGTGGTGGAGAGGCCTGGAGTACGTCTGACCAATCATATTCAGTCTCTGAGCTTCTACACAGTCCCCGCGGTGCACAGGCTGCACATTGGATACAAAGCTTCACTATAAACATCTTATAACAGACAGCGGGATCCAGGAAGAGGGCTCCGCCGGGGTGGGCCTGTCAGTCCATTGGCTGCTGCTGATGCGTTGTACGGCTTCTCGTCCCGAGCCCGCGTTTTTCCTGGATGCCCATGGGGCGGCTGGCGTGACGAAGCACCCGGCGCTACAAGTACTCCAGTTCGAGGGCGTGCCTTAAGGCCTCCAAGTCGGCGTGGCAAGAGATTCGCCAGAACGGCATGTTGTGCTGCGGCGGAAATGAGAATGGCAGGTCAGGGACCTCAGGGACTAATGAGAAGACAATTTGCTCTATTTAAAAGGTTTATGGATACAGTATAGAATAGACCTTGTCACATCTGGGAGCTTCCCCTGCACTTCCTGTCCCAGAGACAAAGCAGGAAGTACAAAGACATCTCTCCCAAGTGAAGGGATACGCCCCCTGGAAACCCCTCCGGCCTCCACACCGGGCTGTGACACACAATGACAGCCACCCCATTGCACCCCAGACCGGAATCCCCCCATTGCACCCCAGACCCGAATCCCACTGTGGTATGTAGAAGGGTGCTGGAGTGACGTGCGGCTGGACCTGGGTGTGCGGGTGACTTATCTCCTCTACACAATTACAACCAGACACAGGAAGTTTCTTTATGAGTCTCTGACCTTAAACAGGCATGGGGACCCAGCCCAAAGTTTCCCACCTCGTCACCCCTTTATAGTCCTGTTACCCCGGCCATGTAAGATTTGTGACTGCTGCTTGTTCAGCCATGCCAAATCAAAGGGAACCTGTCATGATGGACCCATGGACAGATGGGACCACCCAATCTCCTGTGACAACTCCCAGATGTTGAGCTCCTCTGCACTTCCTGTCCCGGAGACAAAGCAGGAAGTACAAAGACATCTCTCCAGAGTGAAGGGATACGCCCCCTGGAAACCCCTCCGGCCTCCACACCGGGCTGTGACACACAATGACAGCCACCCCATTGCACCCCAGACCGGAATCCCCCCATTGCACCCCAGACCCGAATCCCACTGTGGTATGTAGAAGGGTGCTGGAGTGACGTGCGGCTGGACCTGGGTGTGCGGGTGACTTATCTCCTCTACACAATTACAACCAGACACAGGAAGTTTCTTTATGAGTCTCTGACCTTAAACAGGCATGGGGACCCAGCCCAAAGTTTCCCACCTCGTCACCCCTTTATAGTCCTGTTACCCCGGCCATGTAAGATTTGTGACTGCTGCTTGTTCAGCCATGCCAAATCAAAGGGAACCTGTCATGATGGCAGTAACCTAGCAGAGCAGAGGCAGTCACAGCCCATCTCCTGGACGGTGTGTGGCGGGTTCAGGGCAGCTACATCACCCTGCCCAGGAACCATCACCACTTCCAGGAGGTCAGACAGCAAGAGCTGGAAGGGAGCCCCGGACTAGAAAAGACAGGTTCTCTTTGACAGTGCAGCGTTTCTGCACGCGGGGAGCAATAAAAAAAAAGGCAGCAGACACTCGGTTTTCATCGGCTGCAGGAAGCGGCGGGGATGTCTGCGCAGCATTCGGCATGTTTAATAACGGCTCGTGTCGGGGAGAGCAGAGGAAAGTTGCTGGTAGGAAGCAGACGCTGTCAGGGGACACCCCGAGTAATGGAAGGGATTTTCGGGAGGAAATTGCTCGGGATGCTGGTGCTGCTTTTTTTTTTTACAATCAAATCGGGTTTTTTCATCAGGGGTC